CATTTTGTGTTATTATAATTAAATTGCGAACGCAAAATAGCATATTTGTTATTTTCAAAAGGCGTTAGTTGGAAGAATATCGCTGTTTATATTGAGAAAATGGACGAAAAGCGGCTCAGAGCTCCTGCTCCAACCGAGTGGTTTTTAGTCAGTTGAGTCTGACACTTCCACACTACTTGATGATTGCCCCTTCTCACTCACAAAAGTATGTACATATCATCACACCTTTTACGCCCTAAGAGGTAAGCAGAGGTGCACATTATTATTTTAATGCCAATGTACAATGTAACACCCGCTTTTCACTATTTATGTTATGAGTCCCATGTAATTGAGGGTGAACCTATTGATTATATATGAGAAGCGTATGAGAAGCCGAAGCCAACTACGCAGAGGTCCTTTAGAGAACTCTAATCTAGGACAAAAACCAGCGACTATCCCTGTATGCACTATGGCAATGAACCCAAGGATAAACTGCGGTTAATCTAAAACTATTTTAGATAATGGAAAAAAGATATTGCTGTAGATGGGTTTCTGTGGAATTGTACTAGCCGAAACAATGTAAGACTACACGTAAAAATGGCAGTCGGAGACTCGCCAACTCATTCTTACTATTTAGGAATATATTAAGCATTTCTGTTTAGTAATATGATAAGCGTGGATTGTGTAATGGGGACACATCCTATTTTCAATATCCGTAAGTGTCCAATAGAGAATTTCGATATCGATGACTAATCATAAATTATGCAATAAGAATTAGACTTAGGTCCCGGATTTTATGGTTAGTCATTTCACATTTTCATAATAAAACAGAACTGTGTTGTATTTCGTCGTGTGAGTGAGGTTACCGGAGGCCTAATTACCCCTCTCCCCTTACCCAATCTCCCCAAACCCTGAATCCCCAACGATCCTCAAACTCCTAATACCCAAAAGGCCGGTAACGCATTAGTAACGCCTCTGGTGTTCGAGGTGTCTATTGGCCACGCTGATTGCTTACCATCAGGTGATCCATCTGCTCGTTTACCGGCTTATGCCATTAAAAAACTCTTGTTCAAACATAAATTAAAAAAATGAATAGTTATACTCAAAATCGATATATCTTTAATATTGAAAAAGTATCTTTTCAATATAAAAACCAAACGCACTATGGTTATGGAGTATCTTATGCAAATGCAATACGTTTGCAAACACGTGTCAGAAGACACTTCAGATAGTACTAGTCTAATGCCTTGTTTGCACTGCACTGATAATATAGTCCAGTATCGAGTATGTAGTAGCTCTCTCTAGTTTCTGTCTCAAAATCGAAGCCACAGAGAGAGCTACTAAATATTCCCTACTGGACTAACTTACTAGCGTAGTGCGAACAAGGCATAGCAATCATAGTCTCTTTTCTCTAATACAAGGGCTCTGACGTCACAGTTCACCCTGCCAACGAAAATCACGTGTAGTATGACGTCAAAATATAGAGGTACTTTAATTATGTATTTTCTAGAACACTTATTGTTCTAAATCCACGTGTCCTGTCTTCAATCTCACATAAACAAATTAAGAGAGAGTAATAATAAAACCTTTTTGACGCACGTAGGGTTATCTTACTTAGATGGCGTCATAATAGGGTCAATTCGCCAGTTCCCGTCCACCCAAAACAGTTTGCCTATTCTCATCCACCCACCAGTTCGCTTCCATGTTACGGAACGCCCAAATATTCCAAACAAAATTAAATATTCCAAAAAAAAAACATAATATAACATCTCGCCTTGTAGGCGGATGCACATTACGCCACTTAATGACACTGTAACACTTATTTTTCACTATTTGTGTTATGACTCCCATATAATAGGGGGCGAGCCTAATGTTAAATTTCCCGAAATAAAAAACTAGCTTATTAGTCATATTTAGTACATATTTGTTTGATTTCACAAGTTTTCAGAGTCTGATATTCATGGCGAGCAAAATGTACACAAACAGGTGGGTGGACGCGAACAGGCGAATTTACCCTATTATGACGCCATCTTTCTTATACATACAGGCTGATAAAAAAAAATATGCAGTGCGATAGAATTTCGCATCCTGCATAGCAATTATGTGTTACAAATGAGTTGCGAAGTGATTTACAAAGAAAATATTTCTTATCTTTGTTTCATGTAATATTCTACATTTTCTTATACCAAATGAAGGAATTATATCTAAAAAGAAAAATTATCTAAATTATATTATAATTATCTTTGCTAGGTCTCATCTTTGAGATGCTCATAAAATTTTGACTAGTATTTGCAAAAAGTTTCACAAGACGCATCTGTATCAACGGATTCATCGACATTTGACCACTTAGAGTAGATGCCATCTGAGGTGTGTACAAGATACAGTCGATAGTTGTGAAAAGACCTTGATGCTCAGAATCTTCCAAACTCCTCTCACTACCACAGCAACGACTATAACCACGAGAATCCGACCTGTCAACGTCTGATAAATTTGCTCGAAGTCTTTCAGGTCACTTCCGTCCGTAGAGGAACTCGTGGTACTACTTGTCAGTTACAAGTAGTGCCACATAATCGTCGTCGCTATCACGTTTTGTATTTTTAGAGTCACAATCAGGCTCATCTTCACAAATATTTTGAAAGTAACAAACAATTTTTCATTTTCAAGACTACAAGACGTTGCGACCACAAACTACTTTCAATAATTGCGTAAAAATTAGCAGACACTTGAAATGGTACGGTCTCATTTGATAAACAAACTATAAACAATGAATTAGTGTACATAATTTTTATTGTACCCTCTCATATTACACTTATAAACACTCATTAGTTGTTAGCAGTCAAATGACTGCCGCCGTCTTTGTCGGTAGATCAAAATTTAAAATAATAAATAAAAGAGTTGTGATTTATTTTCATACATAGTTGCATTTAACTAGTAAAATAAATAAAAGTCACAAAGTCTCAGTTTAATAGATTTCAAGTTATTCAAAATTTAAAATCAAATTGCGGTCAAATGACTGCTCCCGTCTTTCTAGTGTTAATTAATATGTTTTTCGGCTTACTCACGTAATTATTCGACGAGGAACTTGACTAGTTTCGAGCCATGATAGTGTAGCAGCGCGACAGTCGCCGCGTCGAGAGTCGCGGAACGCTACTCATGAATATGAGCCTCTAGACAAACGTTAAAGGAAAACATCGTGAAGAAACCTGGACTTATAATTTACTAGCGACCCGCCCCGGCTTCGCACGGGTGCAATATGATATAAACCTTCCTTAAGAATCACTCTATCTATTAAAAAAAACCGAATCAAAATCCGTTGCGTAGTTTTAAAGATCTAAGCATAGAGGTACATACGGACATACAGCGAAAGCGACTTTGTTTTATACTATGTATTGATAATAAATAAGTTTGAAATCGAAAATCCAGAATGAGCAAACGTGGTGATTAATGCTGAAAATTTCTCCATATGAGAAGAGGCTTTAGTCAGCAATAAGCACTGAGCACTGTTGATGTATATAAGTATATTTGAGAATTAATATAAGCAATAATAAGCACTTTGATTAACAGATTACTTTTTCTACATTCAAGCTAATCTTTACAATTTCTATAAAACAACGGCTTAACAATCTATATAATATTTTAAGCATAAGCAAGGCTAAAATATAAAATTAACGACTTCACAGTTTGCCGATAACCAAGGTAAAATCATAAAATAGTTAATGACTAATTTATGCGAAATATTTAATACTTTACAATTGATTTGAACTTCAAGTTTCATCATACATAGATTGTTTTGATGCTGATTAGCAGTTCTATGTGATATTGCAACTGCTTTTTATCTTGCGATTATTAGACCTTCCCATATACAGAGTGTAAATGGACGGCTCCAAAAAAACTCTGAAAAAAAAAATTGTTTTCATAATAGTAATTGTTTTTGTTTACATCTTAAGGCTCGTACACAAAACTGCGATGAGATGCAAATTCGCAACGCAAAAAATTACGATGCGGGTTGCTGCGATGCGATTTCGTGCGTTTTAAGTGTGGGAGTTATTGCTTTGGAGATACAGGAAATAGAAACAAAGAAGATTTAGGGAAAAAAGATTTTGATGCGCGATGCGAATCAATTCGCAAGTTCTTGCGATGCGTAGAGGGAGCTCGCATATTTTTGCGATGCGACGTCGCATCGCAGCTTTGTGTACAAGCCCTTATTTATGCAACATGTGCAATTATACACAGACAACAACGCAAGTATTGTTTCACGTCCGTTTTCTGTGAGGTCGTGGTGTCACTCCGGTCGAGACGGCCCATTCATGCCGAAGCATGGCACTCCCACTTGCAAAACATAACATACATAGAATCAATTCTTAATTTAGCATAATACGTTTATTACATATACGGCCAATAACAAAATAAGGAACTCAATTTGCTGCAATTTGGTACAGTCATTAGAAAGTAGAATAAAAATTATGAAGTGCATACATTTAGGAAATCCGTTTTAATAACAAAGGAATAAAATCATAATAACGACCTAAGAATAAATAAGATTCCATAAATAATAAATGCTATGAGATAGGAACAGATAATCTGAAGAAAGTTTATTATTAATAGTTAAACCGAATTATTATTATGCAACGTGTTATGCAATTTAATAAAAAAATAGCACAATAATTAACATAAAATATAGAAACTCTAGTTATTTTAAATGTAGGTATAGACTTATAAAGTACCTACACTCATAATTTTATTAAAATTATAAAATCATTTTTGAGATAAGTAATTACAATTTCATTAACACTATTGTTATTTATTTTTCAATCAAGAAATTGAACAATAAACAAAATTACGGAATTATTATTATTTTATAGTAGAAAAAGCCTTGAAAATTTATTTACACGCTTTATATCTATTAACTTTGACGCTATCAAGCCAAAAGTCGGTCGCGTGTCCGTTGCATAGGACGTGTTGTAAATTTAATTTAAAGAATACAAAAAAATAATATATTGTTAATAATTATTTTGTTATAAATAATTTATTTATTCTATTTTCGCGGAAGTGATTTTTTATTTATAAAAAAATAATTTGTTATTAAATTGTGATCTTGGAGTTTACTTGTGTTTTGCAAAGGTAATATTTTTTTTGTTGTTTTTATTTTTTAAACTTTTGTTAATATATAACAATAATAATATAACTGTAATCATATAAGTATAATATAGAAATTTTATAATTACTATATATATGTACCTATTTCTTAAAATAACTAAATTATATTAATAATATACTTTATAATAAATTAAATTATAAGTAATTTTAGCTTCAAAACATATAGTTATTATTGATTTTAATGACTACTAGATACCCTACATTTACTTTCCGTGTCTCTTGCAATACTTTCTAATATTGCCAAACTCGATAACATTCTATAGATTGAGGATATGTGAGGCAATAATATTGATACTTTAAGTTTATAAAGAAACCACGGAACATAAAACTAAAGATATAGATGTATGCTCGTTCTTCTCCACTCGAATCGTCATTTTGGAACGAGCGCCTAGCCTCACTGACGGACAGACTGACAGACTATTAGTTATTTCATATTACTTATCACTTAAAAAATACTAGTATAATGAGTTTTACTTTTTTCCATTGAACTTATTAACCAAATAACAACTTTAATAATTTTAAATTAGGTGCAAAATAATTAATCGTATTTTGTCGCTTATAATATACGGAACATGGAAAGGAATGTATTGTCAGTATTCCAATCGATATAACACAGGTACTTAAAGTTTGATTAATCGTTCTACGTGGTTCGTAGTTATGGAGATAATGATGCCCAAACCAATTGAAAAACGTAAAAAACCGATACATAATAATCCATGACCAAACCAGTGTAATCAACACATGAAATTTCGCAAATATATATATATATATAAAGATAAAAGTTAAGATTTGAGCTAGACTCCTAGAACTGACACAATCTTGACCTATACGAATGATAGGTATTGTATCATCTCATACATTTTTAATGATGAATAGATAAAGAAATATTTCTATTGGCGTAACTTAATGACAGCAAGACTATATACCTATCTTATTGGTTAAGCCAGCACAAACGTGACTGCTCAACTTTAAAATCAAAATGGTAATACCTAAATGCAGGACTTACAAAATTACGTATCACTAAAAACATATTTTATTTAAGAATTTTATTTCTTATAAAAATAATGATATGACAAAACATGATAACTTAAAATTAAAGTATCTACAGAGTATAAGTATATAAGTACATTGAAAATTCTCTACTAAAATATATAATTAATTAATAATGTGGGTATCAATAAAAATATAACAATAATTATTTAAGATAAAGGAAATGGAAAACATTATTTATGTATTCTACAAGGGACTTATAACATAAATAGTGAAAAGTGGATGTTATATTGTACAGTAGCATTAAGCGCCGTAATGTACACCTCTGCCTACCCCTTTGGAGATAACAGGCTAGATGACATATTTTTTATGATATCTATGTATGTATTTTAATATACACGTTTGAATGCACACAAATAAATAAATAATATTAAGGCTATACCTATTTTTATATTACACCTACTATATATTCCTTCTACGTGTGAGAAGAGACTTTTGCTCCGCAATAGGTTGTTGATGAAGATAACAATTATATTGATCACACACTAACACGTCGTGTTACATTAAATAGGCATAAATTGCCGTTAATAAATAAATAAAAGCATGGTGTGAAAAACCATACAAATTTCGACCTTATTACATAATTATACATAATATACTAACAAATATAAATATTATATATGTATGTATATAAATATTAAATAGGATTACAGGAAACACCTTGTCACAAACCTTGTTAATATTGATGCATAGTATTTTGGCAATGGAGTTATTTAAATATAATCAATATGCTAAATGGCATTGCACTTAAACTTGTTAGATGATGCTAATCCTCTTTTCCTCTTAGGAAGGAAATACAGCTGGATTTTATCAGTTTAATCTAGGTCTGCTGCAACAACTGATCGATGACAATTCATAGTATGACTCACAAACCAAAGTACTTTGCTTCAAGCTTACATAAGCGTAGTAGACTAGAATTCTTTGCAAGAGTCTGTGTTCTCTGAAGGGTATAACCTGGGTGTCTCTAAGGCCCGAATAAATATGTTGCTTATGGCAGACGTGCCCCATCGTAGGTCACATCATCGATTACCACCAGACGAGAACTATCTCGTGGGCCACTAGGCCCATGACATGTATTGTATACATATACATATTGTAATTTTAAACATTTCGTTATCGATAATAAACAAGATAGAGTCAGGTTTCGTCAAAACAAAAACGTTATAGAAAAGTACCATTAAATAAACGTATTTTAGTTGAATGTTATTTTTGCTGTGAGAGTAAGATTGCTCCACCATCAGTACCGCATCTGCAACAGCCGGCAATGCACGTTTTTATTTAAACTGTCAAACACCAAGCGGTCACCAGTGACCGCAACCTGTTGTTCTATAATTGTGTCTATAATGACGGTACTTGACGAGTTAAACTAGCTACTTCCGCGCGGTTTCACACGATCTGATCAGCTCCTATTGGTCGTAGCGTGACGTTTTATAGCCTATAGCCATCCTCGATAATTCGCTATCCAACACAAAAAGAATTATTCAAATCAGACTTGTAGTTACGGAGATTAGCGCGTTCAAACAAACAAACAAAAAAACAAACTCTTCCGCTTTATATACTAGTATAAGAGTATAAGATTTATTTAATTATATTAATTACAACGATTTCTACTAATGACAGTAATTAATTAATTTGTTATAAAATCATCATATCTATACATATAATAAAATTGTAGAAAAGTGCTGTCTGTACATTGAAAATAAAAATAAAAAAAATAGCAGGGGCTATTGTTATGTCGATGTCGAACCCAAAAATGTAACTAACTTTTTTTTTGTCTGTTTGTCTGTTTGTCTGTTCACGCTAATCTCAGAAACGGCTTATCCGAGTTGGATGCGGTTTTCACGAATATATTGTGGTATGCTTCAGTTATGCTTTAGTGTTTGTTTCATGTCAATCGGTTCATAAATAAAAAAGTTACGTCAAATTAAAGAATCACGTCGAACACTATCTATCTATCTATACATATAATAAAATTGTAGAAAAGTGCTGTCTGTACATTGAAAATAAAAATAAAAAAAATAGCAGGGGCTATTGTTATGTCGATGTCGAACCCAAAAATGTAACTAACTTTTTTTTTGTCTGTTTGTCTGTTTGTCTGTTCACGCTAATCTCAGAAATGGCTTATAAATATATATATATTTAACAGGGTGCGGAAAAGGTGATAGTGGTTTTATTCCTCAGATTCCTCTCATTCCAAAAAATTTTCCGTTTAATTTTAAACGAATTCAGTTTCCAGTGAGCCTATGTTTCGCCATGACAATTAATAAAGCTCAAGGTCAGACTCTAAAAGTTGTGGGTATAGATCTAAGTATCAGCTGTTTTTCGCACGGTCAATTGTATGTGGCTCTGTCCCGTGTTAGCAATCCCAGCAGCCTGTATGCTTTCACCCCCGATGGCCATACGTCTAATATTGTATATAGAGAAGCATTACAGTAAAGTAGGTTTTTTAGCTACCCAAAATGACTGTGATTATGATCCAAATCTAAAATAAAAATAAGTATATATTTAAAAAAAACGCTGCTCATAGTCACTATTCTACGCGAACGAAGTCGCGGGCACAGCTAGTCAGTAATACAAATGTACACTCAAATCCATATCAACATTAATAGACAAAGTAAAATTCAATTTCATGTCAGAACCCAAATCATTTAAAGTCATATTAAGATAAATAGAAAATAACATTCAACTACTTCATGTCTGAACCCAAAGTACCCACAAATGGTTCAAATTCGTTTCAATATTTGGAAATAAAAAACATTTTGCACTTTTAAATCCTTTAGTGTTAGAAATATTTCATAAACAGCGATGATTACTTATTCATGAACTAAAGACGCTAATCCGTGACCTCCTCAATAGTGAAATTGCAATCACATCGCTCGACAAATAACTCAGTCAGTCAAGAAATATTACATTTTTCTCACTTATACATCGTTATATCTAAGAATAACTTTTTTATCATTCGTTATAAGAATCCGGTTTTATTACATCAGTATTCGAAACACTGATTCTATTGTTATATAATACTTAACTAAATTCAATGTAACAGTGTTCAATATATAGTATGTTTGGCAACTTATGCAAATTAGGTAATCAAACCATCGAATGGTCGCTAGCATACCTAATTATCAAGCAATGGTACACCGGTTTCATTGCTGACTCAACTATGGTACTTCGGTGCTGCGGCGACCTTGCGAGTTACCGGGGCTCCGGTCCGAAGCAGGAGTGGGAACAGGGAGGTTTCTTACTAGTCTGATACTTTCTCTCGCCTCATCCAAGGCGAAAGAAGGCATTTAATAGTTGTATAGTTGTCGCGGAGAACCTAACGGGTTACCGAGGCTCCGGGTAGACGTGAAGGAGAAGGAACGGGGTGGTTTTTACTCAGTAAGAGTCTGACACTCCCTCAGCCTTACCCAGGCGGGAGCAGTCACTCGATGATTTTCCCCACTTAAAAAAAATTGTTGTTACATTATTTTTGGATATATGTGAATCATATCAACATCCTTTAAAGCCCACTGCTGAACAAAGCCTCTTTTCACACGAGTAAAGTTTAAGCATTAATCACCACGCTTGCTCAAAGCGGGGTGGCGATATCCAACTTATAATTTAGAAATATAAGTCCAGGTTTCCTCATAATCTCTTTACCGTTTGTCAGTGGTGTCAGAATAATCTTAGCAAGGACATATAACTAGGAAAAGATACTTTGGTATTTGCCGTTAGTAGGTTTCGAAAAGAGAAGCTGGCGTCTTGAACCTCCGGACAACCACGACATGTGAATGTTAATAAACTATTTTTACGTAGTGTACTTACTTGAATACAAAGAAGTGACGGTCTGTCAGTTGGAATCATTTTATCTACAGTTTATATCTACATAATAAAATATTTATATCTACAGTTGTAATCTATTGTTATAAACCTACGACACAAAGACGTCATATTCGTGAGAAAATAACCTAGTTATAATATATACTTATGATTATTGTTATATAACATGAGAAACCTGTACATATATATAATTATTTTTTTCTATATCTAAAAAAATATACATTTAAGATTTTGGTTTGTAACTAAGCATAATAAGAAAAATAGACTGTATTTATTTTTTTCTGTATTTTAGTGTTTTATATTTATGTGAAAACTACATCTTAGGAACCAGTAAATTAAAAATGATTTAAAAAAGCGATGTATTTTTCTAACAAAAATTATATTTGCAATATTTACCTACTAGATATAATATTTAGAGAGGTTCAAAGAGAAGATTATATTTACTTAACCTTCCTTAAACTGTCAAACACCAAGCGGTCACCGGTGACCGCAACCTATTGTTCTATAATTGTGTCTACAAAACCGGTACTCGACGAGTTAATATACTTGTACTTACAAAAGGAAAAAAAATGTTCAAAGAGCTATTAAAATCACAAATACTAGTGTAATTTAAGAAAGCAAATGACACATAAAGTAATATAGGTAAATTGAAAAACAAATAATGCAATTAACATAACGTCACGCCTTTTTATCCCCGAAGGGGTAGGCAGAGGTGCACATTACGGCACTTAATGCCACTGTACAATGTAACACCCACTTTTCACTATTTATGTTACGAGTCCCATGTAATAGGGGGTAATGCAATTAACAAAATAAACATTATTTAAAATAAATTTCCTTAAATAATTTATTTTCAATAACCTAAAAATAAATTGCCAATACATAACCATGTTTTTTATTATTTTAATCAATATTTATTTCTTATTCACAAATAATAAATTTAAATACCATAATGTAGGTACTACTAATTGAAATTGAATTACGAATGTATTTATAAAGTCGCGGAGAACCAATCGGAGAACCTAACGGGTTACTTTGACTCCGGCTCGACGTGCAGGAGAGGGAATGGGATAGTTTTTAGTCAGTAACAGTTTGACACTCCCTCCCGCCTCACCCAGGCGGGAGCAGTCATTCGATGATTTTTCCCCCTTAAAAAAATGTATTTACAAAAAACGATTATTGTAATAAAAATATCTCTAACAGATGATCAAAATGAACATAATCTACAAATCTCCAAATGATTGACGATGAAAACTTCTAAGTACATAATAAACCATAATTAATAAGAGTAATTTTAATTAATTAGTTTTATACAGTATCTTAATCTCGGTCAATTTATTTTTATATTCAAAGGCAGGCCAAATTGGTTCATTAGAAAGACCTTTATTAATTAATTTATTCATATTTGATACTGGAAATGTGATGATTAGAACCTATTTATGAATGAATAGTTATAAATATAATATATGAATAGATTATACATTAATATTATGAATACAAGTAACTGAAAACTAAAATATTTACACCTTAAAATTACCTTAAAAAAATAACGCCAGCCTTCTAAGATGTCAAGGCTTTCAATTAATATTATTTTTATTATTTTTCCATACAGATGTCGATGGATGAGATGCATCCAATGTTTCCTTACACCAAGGAAGATGTGCAGGAGATCAGGAAGGAACTGGGGCTGAAGGAGAGCACCATCGAGGGAGACATTGATGCTATAGTCGACTGGTTCCAGAAACAACCACATCTGGCTGAAGCCGGTATAGGTAAAGATCATCATCTTACTAAAATTATAAACGGAATGATTTTGTATGTATATTTATAACACAACATCATGACTTTTATCCTCGAAGGGGTAGGCAGAGGTGCACATTATGCCACTGTATAATGTAACACCCACTTTTCACTGTTTATGATAAGAGTCCCATGTAATAGGGGGTGTGCCTATTGCCATATACCGGGCAAAATTCCAGACTCCGTGCTACCACTGCGATTTTTTTTTAAAACCCAGTTTTCATTATCTAACTTACGGACGAATTAGATTTTTAATTTTCATACCCTGTGATCATCTCAATTGTATAAAACTGAAATAAATAAAACATTTGCGTACCTACGACTAATAATAATTATACCCTTGAATCAGTTCTAAAATAAACTAAAAAAACAAAAATAGAATGCGTGTTAATTTATTTTTAAATAATTGTATAAGACTACGTTATTAACAACATAACAATTACGTTATGTTTTTATTTTTTGTTAAAATAATTATTTCTCATGTAACTGACGTTAGTTCAAACGATTAAAAAAAAAACTCATTAAGCTATACCTCTACATATAGACGTCATCACTAAACTTGATTTTGAAATTAACAAAACATTTTGCTAATGTATTATTTTTCATTTAGTGCATTGAAATAATAATTAATTATTATTATTATTACGTAGGTAATTTAAGTTAGTTTTAAGTCAGTCAGTAAACAAACATCGGATATTTTTACCGACTTCATAAAAAGGAGGAGATACTATGTTTTTTTTTGTTTGTTCGCGCACTGATAGGTTAAAAGTCGGTGCTCATATCATAATGATATAACCTAATGGCCACAAAATTGTGAATTACCTAATTCCAACCTATTAAGGTTTCAATGAATAATTTTGTATAGAAATTATGGTGCCAACTTCTGACCTATCAAACAAAAAACACAAACTGGTATTATATTCAATTTCGTCGAGGCCTTCAACATAATATCGCGCCTTTTATACCCGCAGGGTTAAACAGAGGTACACTTTATGGTACTGTCACTGTATAATGTAACACCCACTTTTCACTATTTATATTATGAGTCCCATGTAATAGGGGGTGAGCCTATTGCCATATACCGGGCACAGTTCCATACTCCGTGCTACTACTGGGAATTTTTTGAAAAACCCAGTAATACTTTGCCCTTTCTTATTTTTTTCTATCTAATTAATTATCTACTTTCATTTTAATTTCAGAAAGACCCTTCGTGGAGAGGATGCTGATTGTCGCCAAAGGGTCGATGGAGAAGGCAAAAAGGAGAATAGATAACTACTATAGATACAGACTGCTTGCACCAGAGATAATACAGAATAGAGAAAAGGTGCTGTCTGATTCACAGGATCTGTGGAGTTCATAGTAAGTATTTATGGACTATTTTATTTATCTAGTAATTTGTATTAGAGAAAATGATGATCACTGTCGAACTAAGTGCTAAAATTCAGGTATTCGTAATTCAAAAATTGTGCTGTAATGAGAAATTAAAAAGAAGCAGTAAAGAAGAGCTACTCATTGTTATTGATTGGTCCTGAAACCGCGCGCTCTGCAATCGGTTGGTGGGCGATCACATTAGGAAGGCTGGTTTGAAACTCAACTGATTGTTTAACTCATCTTGCGATAATCAACCGCCATATGCGGGCGATAATCGCAATTGCAGCGACCGCAGGACGGCAGAAAACTGCGGTCTTATAAGTTTTGAAATTTCCCCCTACATTCTGCCAACACGGCGGGCGCGGTAGAAAATCGCGCCGTGAATCCTTAGCCTAATAACTGCACTTTAACAAAGTCATCCGAGAATAGAATGTCAACTTTGTTTTTGTTTATATTACAGTCGTATTTCGATTGTATACTCTAATAATTTTGACTTTGACTTTTATAAAGAGTTGGCTAATCATTTATACACACTTGATAATAATGTAACGTTAGGTGTGTGGTAATCGTTAATTTTTACGGCCTCGTGTGACCGTCGCTACGTCATAATCGGATGTCTTATGGGGGACACCCACGTAGGTATAGTGGCTGTGTGTACCGGTTGTGAATCATGATGTTCTTTATGTTTATTATCCTTATCCTTACTAATATTATAAATGGGAAAGTGAGTTTGTTTGTTTGTTCCGCTTTCACGCCGTAACTATTCAACCGATTGCTTTGAATTTTTGCAGACGTAAAGTTAGAAATCTGTATTAAATAATAGGGTACTTTTTATCCCGGAAAAATTTGATATTCTCGAGGGAAAACGAAATTATTGGTATAGATAGCGTTGTGTGTATAGGTATATGTCACATAGGCTACTTTTTATCCTTTTGTGACGCGGGCGAAGCCGCGGGTAAAAGCTAGTTCAATCATAAAATTATTGTGTATTTTTCGAATAAGAATTATCTAGAAGGGTTTGGATAAGTTCTACTATTCACGTAAGCTACACGTCATGCGCTCGCTTTCGTCAATTAACGATTGTAAGGCGAATGCTTGCTTTTTGCGTACAAACCAACAATATCGTGACCACCAAGCGGTAACGTCATGTGAGTCACTCGCTATACAAACCCGCATGTCGTCATTTGCAGATTGCATGCATTCGTCAAATGACGAGTCGTGGACATTAGCCATAGGGCTACTGTCCATATCACATGAACATAGGTTCACAGCATTCATAATAGGGTAAATGCCTAATTTTTATTTTAATAAAAGTATATTATTTTAAATCTTTAGACACGGATTTGTTATTTTCTTACAGAAATGAATATTTTCGATGATATATTGATTTGAAATGTCGCGTGACGTCACTTCTATGTACATATTATACGTAGAAATGACGTTTTAGCCCCCACGTCTAGCCATCACTTTGATTCGTTTTATCTAAGTATTGTTTTATTATACGACAAAATAAAAATAAATACGTGTCTTATACTTTTTCATTACCTAACTTACGGACTAATTAGTTTTTTAATTTTCATACCCTGTCATCATCCTAATTTTTAGAAAAACCTATTTGTTAACAAATTGCTTTTGTATTTCAAATAGACCATAATAATTTACTGATAAAAAAAAAATTACGTACCTTGTCATAAATGCTACAAGTTAATCTTCCAAAAAAAGTTAAGGCCTCGAACAATTGCGCAATCTTCTAGCCTACAACCTACTATCAAATTCTTCAATTATACAATTTTAAATTCATCTGCAATTACGTCCTTACACAATAAGTTCACCGTCTATTACAAAGACACTAATAACATAACTATCTAAAACTAGGTCTGTAACTACACCTCTGCCTGCCCCTTTAGGCTGAATTCACACCGTCGCAGAATGGAAGCGAAAGAAACTGTACATAGCATTATGAAATTTAAATCAACTGTATAAGAAACAAATTATTATTAATCTTTGATTTTTGGATCTTCCACGGAATCATCACGCGTTGTCCTGCATTTCCTGCTATTGAATCTGTGTGTTATACCGTTGAAATAAAGATCATAATGGTATGTAATGGTATGTACAATTTCGTTGCAAAAAGTAGGTTCCATTCCAAATCACGGCGGTGTAAATTGGTCCTAAGGCAACAAGCGTGTGGTTAATTGAATCAAGTCTTAGGAAACTGATTCGTATGCTACAATTTATTGGTTGCAATCCAGCCTTCACGGTGTATGAATTCAAGTAACTATAGTACCTGGTTGGTCAATGCCCTATTATAACTTAGGTCTACCTGTTCAACTTGCGTCACTTGCTTGACGAATGCATGCATCCTTCACAAACATTAAACAGGTTAAACGAAACCACTTCGTTGACAGTTTTCATTGTATCTAAATAATTTGTCATTTGCCGTCTATAACTGCCTCGTTGGCCGAGTGCGATTGCCGGTCTTAGGGTCAATTCCCGGGTAGGGCAAAGTATTTAAAAAAAATCTCAGTAGTAGCACGAAGTCTGGAGATGTGCCCGGTATATGGCAATATTCTCACCCCCTATTATATCGGACTCATAACATAAATTATCAAAAGTGGGTGTTACATTGTATAGTGGCATTAAGTGCCGTTATGTGCACTACCGCCTCCCTCTTCGGGAAAAAATGATGACAGGGCGTGATGATGAGTATGCCGTCTATTCTTTATGAAGGTTGCATGCATTCGTCAAATGACGCAACGTGGACAGTGGCCTTTAGATTGTAAATTACTGGTAAATATATGTTTACCTATTTTATAGTATTTAGTTTAAATGTACTTGCTCGATATGAAATTGCAAAACGTCTCTTGCAATTTTATGTGGAAAGACCCTTAACCGCAGTCACGACTAGTGATTTATTCAGTGAGATTACAGTATATTATAAATACTTTAAAATATAGATGAGATAAAAAGAAATATTTTTATGGCCGGCTGGTAAACGAGCAGATGGATCACCTGATGGTAAACAATCAGAGTCGCCCATGGACACTTGGAACACCAGAGGCGTTATAAGTGTGTTACCGGTCATTTGTTGTTTAGAAGTTGGAGGATCGTTGGGGATTCAGGGATTGGCGAGATTGGGGAAGAGGTGATTCGTCTGTTCGTTTATTGACTTTTCCTATAAAAAGTTAAGTAACTATCTATTTCTGTAAGCGTGGGCGTGTAAACAAATTATACAATTATATTTTCTTTTGTTAAACATCCGTGGATATGCCACCAGGTCCAGGTCCTTATGATCATGAGGTTCGACTAGTCACTCAGTCATCATCAAAACTGTAAATTTAGTACTTAGTTACAACGATTACAAATTGACAAATGAACAGTTATGTTACAGCGAGGCCCCACTTGTCCATTGGATTGTGTTGCGTCGTCGTTTTCCGTATATTTTTATGACATGCTCTATTAGTGCGTTGCGATTGTCGTGCGAGACGTTTCAAGCAACGGGTCGACGGATAAGAGAAGCGAGAGGTAGGCTAATGCGCTTTGTTGACGTACAGAGGGCCAAGCACGAATAACTATCGCATTCGTATCGAGCGAGTTAAGCGTTCTGATTGGTTGGTTCACTTGAGCCGGCCAATCGGAGCGCCCAACGGCGCTCGATACTATTACGTTACGAATGCGATAGTTATTCGTGCTTGGCACTCAGTTATCACGTTTGTAACTGAAATGCAGATGCGATGTCGTGCGTCGTCGCAACCTTGGTGGGGCGTGCAATGCGATGTTCAGTAGCGACTACGCGACGCAACGCTGCTCAACAGACAAGTGGGGCCTTGCTCTTGAGATAACGCCAGCTAAACAATTTTACTTCTTCAAAATTTACTTCAATTATATTTTTAAAAATAATTTGGATACCTGTTTCATCTGACGTTGATGATTTATTTGATTTATTAATGTGTTATTGTAGGTACAATTCAGTTTTATTTTATTTTGTGTAGCTAAGAACAATAGTGATGACGTCAATTCTTTTGCTTTTTGCTTCCTTATTTTCCTTTAGAGACGTACCTATCTAAAATAATGTACGGTCAAATAATGCTATGATAAACCACTATAAATTCCTCTTCGACCGTTAGGAAGGACCATATAATGTGAGATTAAGATAAACTGGCTATGTATAACTCGACGCAATGTCGTGGGTATTTTTGAACTGGTTTTTAGATTTTTCGATTAAAATAATTTATGTGTTAATTTGAACCTGTCATAGGGTCCATTGTTAAGCCTTTTGTTCTATTTTTGACTAAATCTCGTTATATATTTTGGCAGTCCTATTTTTATACGCAATTACGAGAATAGGAATTGCGTAAGAATAGATTTTTATAGTTCTAAATATCATAGTGTTGAGGATTTTCCACATTGGGGTTAAAAAATTGAAAAAGCACTTAATATAATACGACTTTTTCAATTTCTGTAGCTATATTGTTATACATATAATAGAGATGATGACAGGGTATGAAAATTAAAAATATAATTAGTATGTAAGTAGGGTAATGTAAAAATATTTGACACGTATTCTGATTATATAGCATGTTCATGGATTCTCTTAGTTAAAATTTGGATGGAATTGGGATGATGACAGGGTATGAAAAATAAAAATCTAATTAGTCCGTAAGTTAGGTAATGAAAAAATATTAGACACGTATTATTTTATTTTGTCTTGTAATAAAACAATACTTAGTATAACGAATCAAAGTTTAAGAGTGGGGACTAAAACGTCATATCTACGTATAAAATTTAAATAGAAGTGACGTCACGCAACAATTCAAATCAATATATCTTCGAAACTATTCGTTTCCGTAAAATTATAAAAAATACGTGTCTAATGCTTTTAAATAATCTACCAGACGGACATTAAAATAAAAATTAGTCATCTACCCTATTACTATTAATGGCCATAATTTAATATAAATCGCCTTAGGCTTTATACATTATCCTGATTGATTTTGACCATGGTGATAACTCTTTACGCAAAGATATTATAATGCACAAGTGGGTGCGCAAACACAGGTGTACTTTCTGTTTCCTCACTATCCTCACTCTCTGAACTCATTGGTAAGGCAGATCGACACGACCGGGGAGAGGTCCGAGGCAGTAGATTTTACATACTCTCTGAGGCACGGTAGTGGAACACCGCCAATATTCCTGAGTTCGGGACAGTAATTAATTGACATTTTCACTTTGCTATTATAACTTTTTGTACGAATCAAACCCGCAACACGTTCCTCTACTCCCACTTTATCTTTCTTTATTTTAATATCTTATTTTGTCCTCACTTTCAGCTTGCAGTTATCGATGCCCAAGATGTATAAATGCAACCGAGTTTCAGTGTTTCAACTCCTCAATCCTGACCCGAGTGCCTTCTCCTGTGAAGCTTTCCTTAGGAATACTTTCATGGTAACTATAGCTACTTTAGCATATTTTTTTTCTTAACGAACTATACCTATCTTGAATTTATCTGCCATATTACCCTCCCCTTCCCCAATCTCCCCAATTCCTGAATTCCCAACTATCCTCAAACTCCTAATCCCCGAAAGGCCGGTATCGAACTTTTAACGCCTCTGGTGTTCCAGGTGTCCATGGGCGACGCCGATTGCTTACCATCATTGAGCAAGCTTGCCTTGAGACGATCATGACTGAACATAAAATACAATAAATAAACTATTTTTGATCAACTACTTTTTCTATATTTCAGCTCGGTGACGTCAGAATGAAACATGACTACTTCCTCGGTGACATCTGGATTGTGGACATGAGGCACGCCACCTTCTCCCATCTACTCAGATTGAACCCTACACTGATGCAGAAAGCCGCACATTTGTTCCATGTAAGTTGAAAGAAATATTTAATAGTCAAGAGAAAACACTCAAAATATGTCCTAAATAGCCAAATGCAATCGATTGAGTTCATTTTCTATTCTTCTTCATAAAGAATGAAATAGTGGTTAGCCACTATCGATAAAGACTGGGCAATAGCGCTCTGTGACAAATTTAAATCGGAATCACCAACGCACCTACCAAACATGGAGATTTTAGGTAAATCCTGGAATGGAGGTCCTGCCATATAGACAGCACTATCATGCTTAGTTGAAGACACTGTCTCCTAAAATAAACGGATCTATATTAGTAAAAAAAAAAATGTCCAAGTGAGTCCAAAGCAATTATTATTGTAATTATCACCGTACTAACATCTTCCTCCTCAATTCCAGGAAGGGCTTGGTCTTCGTATCCACTCCATCCACGTCCTAAACGCCAACAGCCTGTTACAACACGTCATCAGCTTCATGAGGCAGTTCTTCAGCCCCAAGATTATCGACCGTGTGATCGTGCACGAGTCTTTAGATGCCTTGCATATGAGCCTGCCTAAGAGGTACTTGCCTAAAGATTATGGCGGTGACGAGCCTGCTTTGGCTGAATTTAGAGGTAAAACTTATTTTTTATAACCATTTCTATCACTATGAGAGAACAGATCCCTGTGTCCGCTTACACATAACATTACATAACATCACGCCTTTTATCCCTGAAGGCGTAGGCAGAGGTGCACATTATGCCACTGTACAATGTAACACCCACTTTTCACTGTTTATGTTATGAGTCCCATGTAATAGGGGGTGAGCCTATTGCCATATACCGGGCACAATTCCACACTCCGTGCTACTAGTGTCCGTCTTATTGTTCTTACAATACATAGTATAAAACATAGTCGCTATCCGCCGTCTGTCTGTCCCTATGTATGCTTAGATCTTGAAAACTACGCAACGGATTTTGATGCGGTTTTTTTTAATAGATGGAGTAATTTTATGGAAGGTTTTTATGTATACATTTTTATGTATGACTGCACGGTTGGCGCGGTGGCTGGGCAACCGGCTGCCGTGCAACGTATCGCGGGGTCGATTCCCGCACGGAACAACACTTTGTGTGATCCACAAATTGTTGTTTCGGGTCTGGGTGTCATTGTGTATGTGAACTTGTATGTTTGTAAACGCACCCACGACACAGGAGAAAATCCTAATGTGGGGCAACGTTTTATTTTAAAATAAAAAGAAAAAAAATATGGCACCCGTGCAAAGCCGGGCGGGTCGCTAGTGATTAATAAATTACTCACCAGATGATTGTCTAGTAGGGAAATTTTCATATAGGTAATTATGGTTTTATCATCATCATCATGATATCAGCCATGAGATGTCTACTGCTCAACATAGGTCTCCCCCATGACTTTCAGATAGGCCGGTTGTTTATTTTTACCATAAACAGTGGAAATTATAGGAATATAGTGCTTTATTATCAGGTTCTGACATTTTATAATATTGCAAGACGCCTACTGAATTTAGTTTAACAATACACTTGATTGTGATTTCTTTTTCTTTTTAGTTTTAAATAATCTTAGTTAATTAGGTAATTAGG